GGTGTAATGGAACTTTAAGTAAATGTTTAAATTCCACCACTCCAGGTCCCTGCTTCACAGTAACCATAATACCCCAACTCACCCTATATGAAAAATCCAAAGTCTCCCAACTATTACAAGAGACTAGAATCAAAATAATACCTATCATGATAGGTATTAGCCTAGCCTCTGCCATTGCAGCAGCAGGAATGGCGGGCGGAGCCTTGAGCCATAGCATAATATCGGCTCAGGACTTCCAAGTCTGTCTCAAAATTGCACTTGAAACCACTGCAGACTCCTTAGCCTCCCTTCAGCGATAACTAACCTCTTTAGCCCAAGATTCTTTGCAGAACCGGAGAGCCTTAGACCTCCTAACTGCAGCGGAAGGTGGAACTTGCATCTTCCTGGGAGAAAAATGTTGTTATTATATAAATGAATCTGGACTAGTGGAACATAATATTAACACATTAACTCAACTAAAAGAGGAACTACACAACCGACACAATGCAGAAACTTCACTGTTTGGATGGTTCCAATCGCCACTGACTGCCTGGCTATTACCCCTTATCAGACCACTTGTACTAATAACTCTACTTTTTCTCTTTGCCCCTTGCCTCCTCAAGTTTCTCCAAAGCCGACTTGAAGAAATATCTTGGGTTACAGTGAATCAACTTCTCCTACACCCTTACACCAAGTTGCCAACTGACGACCCCAACTTCTCAGGCTCCAACCTATGAAACCCCTCTCCTCTTCTCCGACCCCACTCAGCAAGAAGAAGCTAAGAGAATCACGTCACCCTTTATCCATTAAAAGAGGTTGGAATGTTAGGCCAAAGCAAACCCAAGCCCCAATATGTCAGTTGGCAGCTTCCTCCAGGTGTCAGGCCCTGATGAGACAGCCTGATAAGACAACCTAAGTGACAGAACCCGCCCCGGCTGGAAAGTCCCATGCAATGACAAACTTCCTCCTGTGAAGCCCCCTCATGCTAATTAAGTGCAGACCCATGCTAACAGCTAATTGGACCCTGCCATTTCCTTAGAGGACCCTGTCATTTCCTTGGTGTCCCCCAAATAGGTCCTCTCTCTGTCTATAAAAATTCACGCCCCCTGCCCGGGGGTGCGACTTCTCTGGCCTTGATGCTAGGGCACGAGAACCTTGCCCGGGAGTGCTAATAAACTGCTTCTCTGAAACAACTCCGTGTCCTGGTGTCTAGGCAGCTCTGCATTACAAGTACTAGATGGTATCTGACTACAATTGTCAACCACTTAGAGGGAGATCTATGTAGGAAATTCTGGATAGAGTGGGAGAACAATGTGGAACAAAACTCAAAATAATTTGAAAAAAAAAAAAGGACCTGGTTTGCTGGTCTGATAGAAACTGGCATAGTGAGACTATGGTCCCTAGCTGCCTTTCAGGTCTGGAATCGAACCCACACCTGTGGCTTCCAGCCAAACAAAAGACAGATATACGAGGTGAACATTTACTGAGGTAGATACACTCCTTGAAGAGAACAATCATGGAAGAATAGAAGGGCTGTTTATGTACAGGGAGGCAGCTCAGGGGGCAGGAATGCATGGAGGGAGGGACACAGGGAATAGGTAACTATCAGGAAGAAGTGGGAGGGGAGCTGTTGCATTGTGGTAAATTGTAGTCAATGTCATGAGACAATGTGTGTGTGAACTTCTGTATGGAAGGTGAATTTGCTCTGTAAACTTTCACCCAAATCACAATTAAAAAAAATAAAAAGAAGAAGAAAAGGAAGAATGTCAGGTGTATAGTAGAGCTGACAAGGGGCAAGGTTGTAGTGGCTTCTTGGCCACAGCCAGCTACCCTGAGGGAGTGAGTAGTTGGACCTGCAAGCTCAGGACCATGGTTGCATGGGACATTAAGCTCAACTGGCATAACATACTACACAAAAACATTGCTCTACTTCCTACTTTGGTGACTAGCGATTGGGATCTTAAAAGCTTGCCAGTGGCCATCTAGATGCAACAATGGGTCTCTCCTCATCCATAGCAAAGAAGAATGAAGAAACCCAAAGATGCATGGAAACAATTAGTCCAAGGGACTGACAGACCATTGATCCTCAGCCTATATGACCATGAGACCAGAAGAATTAGATGGTACCTGGCTACCACTATCAACTACTCAGAGGGGGATCGGTGCAGGAGATCTTGGATAGAGTGAGAGAACAAGGTGGAACAAAATTCAAAATCATAAAAAAAAGACCAGGTTTGCTGGTCTGATAGAACTTGGTGAGACCCCTGAGACTATGGCCCATAGTTACCCTTCAGGTCTGGAACTGAACTCACTCCTGTGGCTTCCAGCCACACAACAGGAATATGGGATGAACATTTACATCAGTTAGATAAACTCCCTGGAGCAATCAATCATGGGAGAACAGAAGGGCAGTGTTTACACAGGGAGACAGCTTAGTGGGGGGATGAGAGTGCATGGGAGGGAAGGACACAGGGAAGAGCTAACTATGGGTAGGAAGTGGAAAGAAAGCTGTTATATTGTGGGAAATTATAGTCAATGTCATGAAACAAAATGTGTATGAACTTCTGTATGGAAAATGAATTTGTTTTGTAATCTTTCACCCAAATCACAATAAAAATTAAAAGAAAAAAAAAAAGTGGAAGGCCTTCTTTTTTGCTAGCTGAATATATTACTTCTTTTCGACCAATCCAAACATGAGTTGGAGTGTGGCTCATGGGCTGTAATATGGTAGAATCATTCATGTAAGGGAGAATTTAAATGCTGACAGGCTCTTACCATCAAATAAACCCCATTTTCCCTCAACCCAGACAACCCTAGACACCAGGATGGAATTTAGACACAGAACTCTTTACCTCTTTTGGAGGAAGTGCTCACATCTCTTCTCCAAAGGTAGTGTCTGGGAGAAGGTCTCATCTGTCAAGTCACTTTGAGGAACGATGCAGTTTCTTAAGATCCCTTCCAGGAGTGGATGGGTCTCAAAGTTAAAATAGAAAATAGAATTTCTGACCCCAATGACATTGTCAGTATGTTCAATTTCATCTGGATGGTCTCCTGAAAAGAAACCAGAGCCTTGTATTCTCTATGATGATTGATTTCATGATGGCCTGTGTGGTGGTGGTCAGTCTGGGGAGGACAAGAAGCTCCAGGCTCAGGTGGGCACATGGGTGCTACTCTGTGTATAAAGGCTAGGTGGCTGGGTTGGGCTTTGGGAGGTTCCTTTGATCAGAGGAGAAGTGCCAAAAGACCTTGCTAGGCATTTTGATGAAATACCCTATGAGGTCCGACCTGCAATGTCCTCTTGGCCTATGGTGGAGGTAGTGCAAAATGGCGGTGGTGGTGGGGATTGGATAAGGCCACCTGTGCTTTGTGAGAGGACTGAGAGGTCAGGGAAACGGTCGGCAGCTACAGGTCTGGGCATGCTCCCCTTCATACCTCGAAGCAGGAAACATGGATGGTGTAAAGATAAAACAAATAGTGGCTTCCAGGGGACTGCTAGGTGGTAGGACCTGGGCGGAGCAAAGGCACAGACGATTTCAGGCTTGGCCACATCCATGAGGCGAATAGAACCATCCCAGGAAAAGATCAGCACCTGGGAAGCAAAGAAGTGGTGAGTGGCAACTTCTACTGGACTGTCACCCATAAGAAGGTAGTTTAGAGGTCATTTCAGTATGGATGAGGAGAAGCAGCTGGACATAGAAAACAAGCAGAGAGAGAATGTACCTGGCTCTTCTACACCCAGTCTCTGGCTCCACCCGGCCTGTCACAGGAAATGGCAGAAATATGTGCGTCCTCTGTGCTCACCCTATTGTTACCATCAGCAAACAGGTCTACATCTTTGTGCTGGACTTGATCCAGTGCTATTCATCCCCTTGTAGGCCTCAGCTCCTCCTTCCAGCTCCCCCAGCATCTCCTCTGGAAAGCTCTCCCTCCATGTGTGGTCATGACTCAGTTCTGTATCTGCCTCCAATATCCATTCCTCCCCTTCCTCTGAGACCCTGCTCAATCCAGTAGCCCCTCTTTCACCCGAGATCTGAGGAGGGGCCTCTCTCCTGCCTGGGCTCTTTCCTCTCTGTAGATGAACCTTCTCACTCCAATCTTTAAGATACCCTTCCTTGAAAATTCTGCCTCCTCCAGCCACTTTTTCTTTCCCTTTACATTCAAATGTCTTTAGAAAATCTCTCTTCTACTCAGCATCTCCACTCCTCCACCTCCACTCATTGGCCATTGGCCCCTCTCTGTCTAGGACACTGTTCTCTATGAGGTACAGTAAAACCTATGAAAACCAGAACCTGTGTAAGGCAGAAACCTGTCAGACAAAAAAACAAAAACAAAAAAAAAACACAAAAAACCACCACAAATATTTTCCATAGAAATGAGTGACAGGAAAGTGGGAGGACTGAACCCTATCAAAGTCAGAAACCTTACGAGACCCAGAAAAACAAAGTAGTCACAATGGGTTCTGGCTCTCACAGGTTTCACTGG